CCCCCCCCCCCCCCCCCCCCCCCGCTCAGCTTCACAACCACATTAAAATGTGAGCGCCAGGATGAGCACATGCAGCCATTACTTGTGGGAGCGTTCCTCATGGCGCCCCCTCCCCCACTCCTTGTCCCCAGGTCTGAGGCCCAGCCTGCAAGCGGCAGCCGTGCGGAACTCCGCTGCCCCCGGGCATCCCCGGCTCCTGGCTGAAGCCAGGCTGCCAGGGTTCGGGTGCTTGAACAGATAGAGAGGGAGAGGGAGTCAGTAAAGAAAACAGCAGGCAAGGAGGATCCCAGAAGCCATTTTCCAAGAAAATTCCCTGATGTTCTGACTAATTGGTTAACTGGAAATCCAGAGACTGACGTGGTGACCTTGAAGGGTTATGAAGTCTGTCCTGTATCTAGGAAGAACTTATTTGACTTTCCAGACAGATGGGAGGCCACATGTTTGTCAAAACTGTCTTGAAGTTGAAATGAAGATCTCAGCATAGAAACACATTTGGGGGCTGGCGTAGAAGGTTAAGCCTCCGGCATTGATGCTGGTTCAAGTCCCAGCTGCTCTACTTCCAATCCAGCTCCCTGTTAATGTGCCTGGGAAGGCAGTAGAAGATGCCTAAGTCCTTGGGTCCCTGCACCCACCTGGGAGACCTGGATGAAGCTCCTGGTTCCTGGCTTTGGCTTGGCCCAGCCCTGGCCATCATAGCCATTTAGGGAGTGAATCAGCAGATGGAAGACCTCTCTCTCTCTCTCTCTCTCCCTCCCCCTCCCTCTCTCCCTCTCTCCCTCTCCCCACTCTGTATTTCTGCCTTTCAAAGAAGTAAATAACTCTTTAAAATTATATATTTGAAGACTTTTCTTTTTTAAAATAAAAACCTTTATTTAAAAGGGAAAAAAAAAAAAAGTGGGCTCTGGGAACAGGATTGGTCCACGGACGCTAATGACCGTGGCAGTTTTATCCTTTTCAGTGATGCAGTGGCTCCCAAGCCTGACAATGCGTCCCGGCCTGCAGCGTTCAGCATGTCTTGGGAAACAGTTTCAGCCGGATGTTCTGGATCCATGCTGGGCTCCCAGAGGGACTTGCCCATCCTGTACGTTGGTTTGGTGTGGATGCCACTGACCTCCAAGTCATCGGTCACCGCGGGGCAGCTGTTGAAGTCTCGAGCCCAACCCAGTGGTGACTGGATCAGTGTAGCTGAGGCCAAACCACCTCATACAGGAGCTTGGCCATCATGCCCCTGAGGGTGTAAGGCTTGATCTGCAGACGTTGCTTCAGCTCACACAAGAGCAGCGGGAACTCGAGGTGCTGCATGACTGGATGCTGGGGGCTCGGGAGCCCGGCTGGGCCGGCGTACAGCTGGTCCCCACAGGAAAGGTCTGAAGTCTGTGGTCACCACTTGGGCCTGGATCATGCAGCACCTAAGTGCAGTGATGTCCATACAGGTTTGTTTTGTTTTGTTTTGAAGATTTATTTACTTATTTGAAAGCCAAAGTTAAAGAGAAGCAGAGAGAAAGAGAGAGGTCTTCTAGCTGCTGGTTCACTCCCTGGCAACAGCCAGAGCTGGGCCAATCAGGAGCCAGGAGCTGCTTCTGGGTCTCCCACGGGGGTCTGGGGTACCAAGGACTTGAGCCATCTTCTGCTTTCCCAGAGCTAGATCGGAAGTGGAGCAGCCGGGATTCAAACCAGCGCCCATATGGGATGCAGGCACTGCAGGCAGCAGCTTTATCCGCTATACCACAGCACCGGCTCCCCGTGCAGTTCTTTCTCTACATCATGACAGATGAGACATGATTGCCATGTACTAGCACTATAGTTCCGGTCTGAAGATTCTTTTTAAGATTTATTGATTTGAAAGAGTAGCAGGGAGGAACAGAAAAAGAGCCCTTCCCTCGGTTGATTCACTCCCGCAGCTGGTGGCTGCGGTGGCTGGGGTAGGGCCATGCTGAAGCCAGGAACCAGAAACTCCGTGCATGAGTGGCAGGGGCCCAAGGACTTGGGCCACCTGCTGCTTTCCTGGGCACATGAGCAGGGAAGGAGCTGGATTGGACGTGGAGCAGCTGGGACACAAACAGGTGGTCAGAGGGAATGCCTGTATCTCATGTGGCACTTCTATCACTGTACTACACTGGCCCCTGAAGGTTTTTTATGTCCATTTAAAAAAGAAAATACAGAGCCGGCGCTGCGGCTCACTAGGCTAATCCTCCGCCTTGCGGCGCAGGCACACCGGGTTCTAGTCCTGGTCGGGGCGCCGGGTTCTAGTCCTGGTCCCAGTTGCCCCTCTTCCAGGCCAGCTCTCTGCTGTGGCCAGGGAGTGCAGTGGAGGATGGCCCAAGTGCTTGGGCCCTGCACCCCATGGGAGACCAGGAGAAGCACCTGGCTCCTGCCATCGGATCAGCGCGGTGCGCCGGCCGCAGCGGCCATTGGAGGGTGAACCAACGGCAAAGGAAGACCTTTCTCTCTCTCTCTCACTGTCCACTCTGCCTGTCAAAAAAAAATACAGGGGCCAGTGCTGTGGCGTAGCAGGTAAAGCTGTCACCTGCAGTGCCGGCATCCCATGTGGGTGCCAGTTTGAGTCCCGGCTGCTCCACTTCCAATCCAACTCTGCTATGGCCTGGGAAAGCAGCAGAAGATGGCCCAAGTCCTTGGAGCCCTGCACCCACATGGGAGACCTGGAAGAAGCTCCTGGCTCCTGCTTTGGATTTGGGCAGCCAATCTAGAGAGTGAACCAGCATATGAAAGACTCTCTCTCTCTCTCTCTCCCCTCTCCCCTCTCCCCTGTTCCCCCTCTCTCTGTGTTAATTCAAATAAATAAATAAATAAATCTTTTAAAAAAAAATACAAAGTTTTTTTTTATTTTGACATTTTTAATTACAAAATTAGCACTTAAAATATTGAATAATACAGAAATGCAAAAGGAGAGAGAAAAAGGTTTCCATCTACTCATGCCACTCAGCAAGGGTAATGACTGACTTCGGCATGTATCTTTCTACACTTTTTTGAAAGCATAGACGTACATATACACGTGGACATGTAGGTTTTAGATTTATTTGTAAAAAGCTTAAGCCTTATTGAAGCCTCATTAAGAGAAATTAGGTGCATCTGCTCTGGCTCCCTGCTAATGCACCAGGAAAGCAGCGGAAGATGACCCGAGTCCTTGGGCCCCTGCCACTCACGTAGGAGACCTGGAGGAGCTCCTGGCTCCTGGCTTCAGACTGGCCCAGCCCCAGCCATTGCGGCCATTTGAAGAGTGAACCAGTGGATGGAAGACCTCTCTCTGTCTTTTCCTATCTCTTAATTCTGCCTTTCAAATAAGATCTTTTTTTAAAAAATAAAAATACAGATTGGTCTAAAATACAAGAAGGTACATGGTGAAAATTAAAATGTTGTTCTCCCCAACCTGTCCCACTCCTCGGAAGAAACTGCTCTAAATTCCTCGCGTGCCCCCAATTTGCGCAGCACAGATGTGGAATGCAGTTTTCTTGTACATGAGAGTTCTGTTGCGCATACCTTTATGTTGTAACTGGCTTTTTACCAGTAATTTTTCTATTTTTAAGAAAAAGCATGTGCAAATGCCAGAGTTTTTTTTTTCTTTTTTTTTTTTTTTTTAAGATTGATTGATTTGAAAGAGTTACAAAGAGGCAGAGAGAGAGAGAGAGGTCTTGCATCCGCTGGTTTACTCCCCAGATGGCCGCAATGTCCAGAGCTGGGCTGATCCAAAGCCAGGAGCCTTTTCCAGGTCTCCTACATAGGTGCAGGAGCCCAAGGACTTGGGCCATGGTCTACTGCTTTCCCAGGCAGCAGAGAGCTGGATCAGAGAGGAGCAGCCAGGACTAGAACCAGCGCCCATATGGGATGTCAGCACCTCAGGAGGAGGCTTAGCCTACTACACCACAGTGCTGGCCCCAGTAAATGCCAGTTTTTAAAAACCTAAAACAGTTCAAAGGGATGAAAGATGGAAAGAAAGCTTGCATCCGACCCTGGACTTCTGATGCCCCCCAGAGGCAGCCTCAGTTCTTCCCATGTCGGTGTGTGTGGAACAGCTGGCTCCTCTGTGGCTGTGTGGTG